GGATCCGAACCCTTGGCCTTGGTGTTATCAGCACCACACTCTCCCAAGTGAGCCATGGGTCAGCCCTTAGGACTGGGATTATTAAGTCATAGTTTGGTGTATATTTATTTCTTTAAGAAATGGCCAAACTGTTTTCAACTATACAATTTTGCATTTCTACTGACAATGTATGAGAGTTCAAATTGCTCCATATCCTTACTAGCACTTGGTACTGTCAGTTTTTAAAAGACTTTAAAGAAAAGGCAAAACATGTCTTTTATATTCCCCTTCGCATTTACCATAATTGGTACTGTTGTTTCTTTGCATAGGTCCATCCAGCTCTCTATCTGGTATCATAATCATTCTGCCTGAAGAACTTCCTTTAACATTTCTTACAGTGCTGGTCTTCAGGCATTGAATTTTCCTGGATTTTTGTTTGAAAAATTCTTTATTTTGTCTTTGCTGTTGAAAGATACTTTTTCTAGGTGTAGAATTTTGTGTTGACACTTTTCTTTCAGTACTTTAAAACAGTCACTCCATTGTCTTCTGGCAAGCATAGTTTCCAATAGAGGTCTGCTGTAATTCTTATCTTTATTTCTCTGTCAAGAGGTCTTTGACAGCCTTCAAGATTTTCTTTTTACTTTTGGATTTTTAGTAGTTTGTCTATGACATATCTGTTTGGCTTTTGGAATTTATTCTTCTTGGGGTTCTTTCATCTTCTTAGATGAAAGAACCCCAAGAAGAATAAATTCCAAAAGCATAGTTTTCATTTTTGAAAAATTTTCAGCCATTATGTTTAAAAGTATTTCTTCTCCCTTATTTTCTTTCTCTTGTGGGACCCAATTATATGTGTCAGACTGTTTGATATTGTGTCACAGCTTTTGGATATGCTCTTCTGGTTTCTCCTGGTTTCACTGAGCTTTTCCTTATTTGCATCTCAGTCTACTGATAAGCCAGATGGAGGAATTCTTATTCTCTGATATTCGGTTTTCTATTTCTAGCATTTCCATTTGACTGTCTATTCCAGTTTTGATCTCTGTGTTGAAATGTATATTGTCCACTATTTCTTCTAGAGCCTCTATTAATCATATTAATTTATAGTCCCTGACCTACAGTTCAGAAATCTGGGTCATCTATGAGTATGGGTGTTTCGATTGCTTTTATCTCTTGACTATAATTTGCTTTTTCTTGCTTTTTTGTTTGCTTTATAATTTTTACTTTATTTATTTTTATTTTTTTGGCAGCTGGTCAGTACAGGGATTGAACTCTGGACCTTGNACTTTATTTATTTTTATTTTTTTGGCAGCTGGTCAGTACAGGGATTGAACTCTGGACCTTGATGTTATCCGCACTAAACTCTAACCAACTGAGCTAACTGTCCAGCCTCAAGTTTATAATTTTTGATTGCATGCTGGACATTCTGTGTAGAAGAACAATAGGGAATGAGATAAATGGTATAGTCTGTAGTTAGGTGGGGTTGGATTTTGTTGTTGCTGTGGTTACACCCATTGCAGCAGAGACTTCAAATTCTTAGAGATTAATTGGTCCTTGTATCAGTCATGTTTCTCTAGACAAACAGAACCGATAGGAGGACTGCGTGTGCATATGTGTAAATATAGGTATATGTATATATGAACAAAGATTTTATTCAAGGAATTGACTCATGTGATCATGGGGCTGTCATGTCTGCAATCTGTAGGGTGGACTAGCAGCCTGGGACTCTCAGGCAAGAGCTGGTGCTGTAGTTTTTTTTCTTTTGAGTGGCTGACCATTATGGGTATCCAAATCCTTGACCTTGGTGTTAAAATATTACACTCCAACTAACGAACTAACCGGCAAGCCCTGGTGCTGAAGTCTTAAAGCAGACATTTCCTCTTCTTTCTCAGGAAAACCTTAGTTTGGTTCTTTTTTTTTTTTTTTCCTTTTTGTCTTTTTTCGTGACCGGCAGCGGATCGCAATCCTCAGTGTCGTGCCCGTACCGGACCGGGACCGGCAACGGGATCGCAACC